ACCGCTCTTTAATGCGTGCTCGGGATCTTTGGCTCGATCGTGTATCTTTCTCGAATGAGAAAATAACGTCTGCGGGATGGAAAATGAGGGGCGGTAAGGTTAATGGTGGTTGTGGAGGGGGTAGGGTGATTGGGGGGTACAGGAGATTTGTGCCCTATAAGTGGAACAATGCAAATAAATGGTTGATTTAGAAATGCATTAATTTTAGAGGAATTGTCGTGTAAATTGCTGGAGGGAATTTGTCATGGAAAGAAAAGGCAAAAACTAAATGGCAAGACGAAAAAAAGATGAAAAAATCTTTCACAAATGGAATATTGGGTGGGTAGATAGAAAGGTAGACGAGTGAATGATTTTGTAGGTTATATTATCCTTTATGGGGTTGTTTGGTTTCGTCGTTAGTGAATTAATTAATAATCACCAATTTCAAAAAATACTTTTATTATACGTATAATGTAAAGAGAAAAAAGCTCAACCGTTTCTTACATAATTCTTACATCGATTAGTATATTCAGAATACATAATAAAAATCATAAGCATATGTTTTCTTATACATACAGCCATTAATATGTCCATACATTATTTGCAATCACGCGACAAATTTTGTCTCATCTTCGACTCCTTTGCAGCATGTACAGCCAAGTAATTAATAATAAGTCCCCGCAGGATCGGTAGACTGGCCGAGTCATTCTCGTTACAAAATTAATTGCCTCGTTCTGACATTTTATCTCTCGTATTTAATATTACCCGATTATACGTATTTTTCGTTTCTTGTTATTTAGTACAGATTTAGTCAGACTACCAATGGCATTCGTCGCTCAATTATTGCTCAATTATTTTTGCATTTTCGCATTAAAATTTGCAATTGCGCACTCTTTTCTCTACCACTACAGACCAAAGCGAGTTTACCAAAACGATGTGAGCCCTCAGACGAAAGCTCGTGTATAAAGCTCTTATCCACATTGATAATAGCGAGCGCCTGATTAACCATTTCTTTTGATAATTATTCGCATAGATCATCCCCTTTAAGCCGAGATTGGCTTAAGATAAGCTAACGCCTTTAACGGATTGACAGCCTGCACGAACGAAGCCGAATATCCTCTCGATGCTTGCAGGAAAAGATTGTCTCTCGTCCCTTTAAGGTATAGCCTCGCTTTGCCAATAACCTAAGGAAGCACCAAAGCGCTACTCCTCCTCCTCCTCCTCCTCCTCCTCCTCCTCCTCCTCC